GTCAAGTTTCTCATAAATTTTGTTAAAAAAATTGTCACTGCTTCTAAATTCTCCTAATTTATCTAATGTTGTTAACAACAAATTCCTGGCTCTGAGAATATCTGTAAATTTACTTTGTAAAATAGAAAAGACGGTGTCGGTCTGTTGAAAAATTAATACAAAAGTTTCTAAAAAAAATAAATTTTGGTAATTTTCCAGAAATCCTTTTAAACCCACCGCTCCTCTTATAGAAGCATCGTCAAATTCACGACTATTTATAATAAAATCAAAAACCTCCAACAATTTGTCCTTATTATTGTGAACAGTTAAAACGGCACGAGAAGTGAAATTCCAGCGAGTTACTACATTAGTGGGCAGGCGCCGGCCACAAATTTCATCCAAGACATGGGTGCGCTTCGTAGATTTTGAAAAATATGAGGAAAATCCTGACAAAGTTGCAAAGAAAACTCTAATTGACTGTATTGAACTACAGACTTAATTTTTGATTGCAGTCCATTCAATTCGCCAGACGTTACAGCTGCTCCATCATATGTTTGAGCTACTAATTTAGTGTTCAAATCAAATTTGTCAAATTTAGTTACTAAAAGCTGAGATAGTTCTTCCGCAGATCGTCCGGAACTTACATCAAAAAATCCCATAAATCGCTCAACAGGTTGGCCCTCATGTATATAACGAAAAATAATAGATAATTGTGAATGACAATTGATATCTGTGGTTTCGTCGACCTGCCAAGAAAAAAATAAAGATTTTGATATTTCATTTTCTATTTTTTTATTTAAAACAAATACAATAGAATCTATTAATTCATTTTGAATTGTTTTTGACGTCCCAGAAAAAACAGATCTAATATCATTGTCCCTTTGCAAAAAAGTTTTTAAATCGGGGTTAAATTTACTAACTAACGTAACGAGTTCCTTAAAATTCTCACGATTTGAAGAATTTTCTGATTCATCATGCCCTCGAAACGGTAACTCTTGCATACATAAATGCATTGTAATTTCAATTAATATAAAAAAGTAATAATAAAGTTGAGATACTGCATACCATCCATGCGATCCGGTAGAATAAATGTTCCAATACGTATACCATTTACAATGCCAGCCCATATGCTTATCGAAAATTTGTGCTGAAAATTTGTGCGGCGAATTGCATCCGGATTTTCAAAGGCCCATACATGGGTATTACGAAAATTCATTGTACCATTACGAGTAAATGTTGTTTCATCAGTGATCAGAAATTGATTAATAAAATTTTCATGGTTCATAGTTTGTTCCAAAAGCCATTCTGAAAATCGTACTCTTCTGGGATAATCAGGAGGTATTAAAGATTGCACACGTTGGACGTGATAAGGATGGAGCTGATTTTCACGTAATGTGCTCCATACTTTGCTGCGACATGTATTTACTCGATGGGCAATTTGTCGGGTACTAATTGCTGGATCTTCGACTATTATTTCTAGAATTTCCTCTTCTAGATCTACCATCTGTTGGAGTCTTGGTCTATCGGCGTGTCCTCCACGATGTTCCTGTAAGTTTCCAGTTTCTCTAGCTCGCTGTACGAGATTCGTAAATTGACGAGGCCCAGGGGGATGCCTTCGGAGGAATCTTTCTGCATACATTCTCGACGCCGCAGCAGCGTTTTGGTGACATTCTCCATAGAGTATTAACATATCTACGAGCTCACTATTTTCAAAACGATAAGCACGTTGAAAATGAGCCATGTCAATAAATTTGAATGACAGCTCTGACAATACTCTAAATTCATATCCATGACAATGATATTTTTTGTAAACGCTAATCTTTAATTAGAAATTTTGGACAAGACCGTCTCTAAAAATTTCTAAAATTTATAAAAAGATGAAATCAATAAATATCGAAATTTTACCAAGGTAATAGAAGCTAAATCGCTCTAGAGCAAGGCATAAAACTAAGTGTTAAAAGGAATATCTCAACTTAGCGAACACTCTGTACATTTTTATATAAGTTTTATGCATTTGCTGCAACCAAAGTGAAAAGGCCCTAGAATCCGCAATGTATCAGTTAAAAATTTTGACGTTAGGATTCTTGGCTCACTAGTGATATTCTTTGCAGAGAACTATTGACCGCTTTATTTATATGGAATTACTTTTGCTGCCAAAAACTGTTACTATTGCACTGAAATCGATCTTTCATGAATAACCGATATTATTCCTTCTGTTGATATTGTCGGTGCGGTGCGGTGTTTTATACAGAGTGAGTCAGCTTAAAGACGACACCTCAAATAACTTTTTTATTTATGAACCTATGTTAACTGATTTTAGTTATAAATGAAGACGAATGAGTTCCATGTATGCATCACTTTATTAACATGAAATAATTGGTTTAAAGAGTTTAGACAGTACTTCCCTCGCTGTCGGAAACTTGACGACTGCATGCCTATTATGTTTTTATCTCTCATTACATTTTTGTAGCGGAGCATTTTAAAAAAAAATTGCGATGACGTCATCAACATTTTTGCAAGGTCACGTATATCAGTTTGGATAAATGTAGTGTAATTCTAAAAAAAATAGGGCTAGGCGGTTGAAATTTATGCGCTGCGTATGGACCACGACAGACCAGTGGCACGCAACCGATGTTAGGCATCGTGAAGAAAATTATGAGAAAACTAACGTTAACTGAACGTCAGTTGATGATTTAAAAATCCATATCCACAAAATAATAACAATAATATTTTTAATAATTTCGAAGCGTCGGTCTCGCTGAAAATAAAACTATTTCTGCAAATTATTAAAAATGATGCACAATTGGAAAGCGAAAAGCAAACAAGGCAAAGATGCACCGGCCACACTTCAGATGGGTAGATAGGATGAATAAATTTCGACCGCTCAGCTTTATTATAAACAACGACGTCGTAAACACTTCGTAATTTGACGTTTCCGGGCTAGGCTACCCTGGCAAAGTATAACAAAACGCATCTGTGCGTGAAATTTACACTTATTCAAATTAAATTTTATGTTATTTTTTCTAGCAATGTCAAAAACTTGTTTCAATATTCTGTCATGTTCTGTCTGATTATTTGCATAAATTAAGATATCATCGATATAAATCTCTACTCCTGGAATCTCAAAAATGTCCTTAAATTTTTAATGAAATACTTCTGGAGCCCAAGTAATACCAAAAGGAAGAGGTAAAAATGTATACCGTCCAGACGGTGTGGAAAAAGTGCATAGATCCGAACTTTCTTTATCAAATGGTATTTGCCCAAACCCCGACATAGCATCTAAAGTTGAAAATACTTTTGTACCTGCTAGTTTACTAGTTAGTTCCTCAAAAGTGGGTAACTGATAGTGTTCTCGACGAATATTTTGATTTAAATTTTTTGTATTTAAGCATATTCTCAAAGTTCTGTCTGGCTTATGTACAAGCACTATTGGATTAACCCATTCTGTTGGATAATCTACTTTAGAAATTATGCCATCTTTATCAATTTTTTCTAAGCATACTTTGTGTTTCGTACTTATGTTTATGATTGCGGGGAGTTAGGCGAGCAGCAATTCCTGTCCACCTTCTTATTGCCTACCCTTAACTACCACCACAGTATAGACATCAATCAGTATGGACAACTCGTGTCGGCGCCTTTGATCTTTCTGACCCAAATGTTAAGCCGTCGTTGCCCAAAATATTTCTAGATGCCCCACCCAATTTAAAAAGGATCACAAACGCTTCATTTTAAAATTGATTCGTGTACACAATTTACTACACTTTGTGCAAATGAATTTTTGGAAAAGACTTAAAAATAGTGTAGTAACAATAACATTTTGTAACTAGTTGATCTTAGAAACCACACAGTCTATTATAATAAATAATTAATTAAGCGCTCTATAACAGAGATGCCGTGTTGAAATTTAGATGCGGCCCGCTTCTTCGATTACGATTTTACGTTTTATTAATTTCTTTTTCATGATGGTTGTAAAATTCAACGTTATTATTATCTGTTTTTTTATTAAAAACTCGCTAACGTCGCAATTTCCGCGGAAAGTATTATCGGCAACACTGCACTGATTTGATTTAGGGAATTTTTTGACATCAAAAATTTTAAGGTTATTTTTGAAAAGTCATATTTTTTCTCAAAGTACAATAAAAGTTAAGATTATAACAGTTATAAGAAACAACAATAGGTTACTAGTAGTGCCCTGTAAACTTGTCGTTGCTTGAGGAAATTCCACAGACATAGCATCGCCATCACCTTCTATTTCAGCGACATCATCGTCAGTTACCCTCTCATCATCATCTGTTTCGTCTGTATCAGAGTCTGCTAAAGATATTATGGAATATTATCTAGAGGAAAATTGCCCATTTCTTTGTGCCAGTCTGCTAGAATTAATTCTTCACAATGCCGAATACTATTTTTCCACATTTGTGAATCAAAATTATTTAAAGCCTCCAACCATAAGTGCGTTACTCGATTTTTGTCTTCAGTATATTCGTGAATGTTTTGATTATAATAACGTTTGCAGTGTGCCCATGCCAGTTCAATAGCATTGTATTGACAATGGTAAGGTGGAAGTCGAAGCACATCAATACCATGCTGTTTCAAAATGTTATCAATTTCATATTTTACAGGAGTATCAGGTGAAATTGTGGGTTGAATTAAATCCCATAAATCTTTTTCTGTAAATTTTGGATCAAATGCAATGTTACATTTTGTTAAATATTCCTGCATGACAGTTTTGTTTGAAGACTTAGTTGGTGGTTTATCTAATTTTACGGAGTGATAGCTGGCATTATCCATAATCACGACTATTTTAGAACTTTTTGAAAGATTTGGTGAAAAATTACATTAGGTATAAATTGGTTTAAAACCCATTCTTTGAACATACTGGAATCCATGGTTTTGTGATAATCTCTATCATTATTCGTATAGTGTAAGAGGAAGCTACACCATTTAGAGAGTTTGCGCTAAACAATTATTCACTTATAAAAACTCCCCTTATGGTTATAATCATAACGAGGTGGTATAAGCATACCGTAAATGTGAATTTCTTACACTATTTTTGAAAATAGCGTGGCCAATCAAAAATCTCCGGTTATAATATCTGACCGTTGCTGGCCTTGATTATTCTGACAGTGACAGCCGATGTGACAGCGGTCCGTGTAGGTTAGGTTTTCCTCGTGTTCCTACATTTAAAAAATAATAATGTGTTCACGGGACCTTTGGGAGCGTGATAATAATCAGACGTCCTTGCCACCGATTCCCAAATCTGCGACGTCATTGCAGACGCAGGAATCACAGCAAAGATATCCACAAGATCCATGCACCCCTTCAACTTCTAGTGGAAAGAAAAGCAGGTTTCGGTTTAGCGAAGCTGAAAGAATAAAAAGCATAAAGGAGCTGTTCAATCTTTTATGTGAGGGGGATTTTGCAACAGAAGAACAGTTGTGGAAAAACTTACATTTTGTTTTGTGCTATGACAGTGATAGGTATGTAGGTAAAGTTAAAACCAAACCAGGAATGTTTTGCGAATTGTTTATTGACATTTCAGATTCAAAAGTTGCAGTTTGAGATTATTGAAAGAGCACATGCTGGAACAAGTAGTCAAATACAAGAAATATGATTCAGAAGAGGCTACTGAGAGTGGAAAGGAGCGTTTGCACACAGAGTGGGGAGATGCTATGAGGACGTTGTTGACAGTGTGGTACAATTACGAATCTATTGTAAATTTAGAAGCTGAGAAGAAAACCAAGAAACCTGGACGTCCTCGGAAAGAAGCAACTATGAAAAAAAATGATGATGTGGCTGCAGCCAAGGCGATTAGGGAAGCTGCTTTGCAGACAATAGAGAATAATAGTTCCTTTTCAGAAAATATCATAATAGAATTAACTGATGTTGATGATAGTGATAACACTGATTATGGACTGCACTATATTAACAGCAATGACGCTGAGTTTCAGGATGATACTGAATCTACCAATAATTGTCCTAATGCGCCTAGAGCTAAAGGTGTCAAGAGAAAACATACCACACAAGCAGTGAAAACTAGAAATTCATCTACTTCCCAAGGTAATGGAGTTTTCTTGTACTTGTCAGACAAAACAAGAGTTGAGAATGAACTTAGAAAAGAAGAATTGCGTTTAAGAGAACGGCAACATGCTGATACCATCAAACTCCAGCAAGACGAGATTGCCTACAAAAAAGCAAAGTTGGAATTCGAAGAAAGGAAGTGGCAGCAGCAATATGAAGAAAAGCAAAGTGATAATCAAAGAAATGATACTATTATCAAGCTTCTTGAGGCCGTTTTAAATTCTGGTGTTCTAAAAAAAAATCCTTGAATTAATTTTTTAAGTAACTTTGTAATAAAACTTCATATTTGGTCGAAGCTGTTTATTTGAAACCACAGTAATATAGAGTTCATTGAAAATACTCAAACAAATCAGGAGTGTCAATATTAAAGTATTTTGAAGTTAAGCTACCGTAAATGCAGGAATGGGCGTTGGTTAACAAAGTTGCTACGAAGTAATATTTGCCTACAGGCTGCAGCAGAAGCTTCTGATTTTTTTTAAAATCGACGAAGGCGAATTGTTGCACAATTTTACCGAAGCTCCATTCCACACATTGTCTTACTCTTGACATTTTCTTATTAAACAGCTGCTGCTGCTCAGTTAATCTGGTATTCGAGTATGGTCTTATCAACTGGGATTTTAATGGATAGCCTTCGTCACCATAGAGGCAAAATGTTGGACAATACAATCTTAATTGTTGCAGTATATGTGTGTCTTTTAAAATGAAGGAATCATGACGTCTGCCAGGATATGGCTGGCTTAAATGTAATATTAAACCATTGGGTAAAGTTATAGCTTGAAACTTGAGGCAGTGCACTCTTTTGTGGCCACTATATAGCTCCTTCTGCATTCTAGTTGGTCGGCAGGTGGATCGAGCTGTTCCATCTATGAATCCAATACAATTTGTTAGCGGAGCACCTTTCTCGTGCACCAGCAGTGCCAGTTCTTTCAAAAAATCAGTCGTCAGCCACTTATTTTCTTCAAAGTTCAGCAGCAATTTGCTCCACCTCATATAAACAAAATGACAAATCAATTTCACTAGTTTACTGAGACTCGAGTATTGCAAACCAAATTCATTTTGCAGTTCTTTCAACCTATTTGGGTAGGCAAATCTCCGAAGCAAAAGGCACAAACCTTCCACTCCTGAAAAAAATAAATATGATTAGTAGGGAATATATTATTGCTTATGTTTTACAAACCCCCAATGATATGTCTGTCTTCAGTTTCGAATCGATGTGGCAGTTGTAGAGCTCTGTGCAGTTTTACAATATCTTCCTTGTCAAACCGGTAAAGGTATTTAAAATTACCGATTTCTACCTTGTGAATATCAAAAGGAACACGCGTATATAGTTGCCTTTTCTCTGCTAAAACTTTCTCCAGGGATTTGTAGAAGAAATAGTCGCTGATACTGTCGGTATCCCCATAGAGTAGAAGATCCTGGATGATATCCATAATTTCTTCACTGATACAAAACTTAAATTTTCAATCCAGTGTAGTTTTCTAAGTATTTTTAAGCTGTCAGTAATTGGTATAGTTATGTTGTACCTTAAGCCATCTCCAAATGACTGTATTTAACCTAACCTAACAAATGGATCTGTCATACGTCAATTATACCATACCGTACCAGCACGCACTACAGCGCAAACACTTTTCAAAACTCAAACGTTACACTATATTTGTAGGTTATGTTGATTATAATTATAACGTAGAAATACAAGGCGCAAACTCTCTATTTATAAAACCCTCTGAGGATCCAGCATGCAAAACCGTAAAACGCTGTCCTTCAAATTTTGTGGCTTTATAGTTTTTTGTGTGCATATTGTCATGTACCCATGTTTTTAACTGGGAACCATGCTTGTAAATCCAAGTTTCATCGAGGAAAATGAATTTAACGTCTGGATAATCTGCTTTATATTTCAGGTAACATTTTAGAAATTTGATTCTTTTAGCAACTATATCAGGTCTTTCTATTAAAATTTTTCGATGATTTTCATACTTATATTTGAAACCCATTGCTTTAATTATTTTATATAGGGTACTTCGCGATCCTGTGTATTCTAAATTCTTTTGTGCAAATGAAAGAAGCGTATCCAAATTAAAATATTGCCCTGTTTCTTTGTATTTTTGAATTTGCCGTCCCAACTCTTCCCTAAAAAAGTGATCCTCGAACGCTGCAATTTTTTTTCTCCCCCCTGAACTTTTCGATGAGACAATTGGTTTGCCCGTTGTATGGCACTTCAAAATAGCTCTTACCGTGGACTCAGAAACCTAGTTTAAAATATTGATAAATATTACGTACTGAGCATCTTTTAGTACCGAAAAGACTGTCTTTAAGTGTTCATGCATTTTTCTTCCAGTTATGGCTGGCTCCAGTGTCAAAATTAAGTGGTAGCAATTAATGAGTGCCATTTTCAATTTAGCACTTAAAAGATTTCGCGTTTTGCGATGCATTTTTTGTTCTTTCAAAAATTAAGAAATTTTTGAATGACGGGCTCTTATTGAAACTTTCAAAAAACAGGCGTGCCAATAAAGTATGGAATAACACTACATAGGTTTTTTTTTTGTTATACCAACTTGATTCAACAGGTGGTGAGTTTTTAAAATAAAAATAAATTATAGAAAACGCTAATATACAGAGTTGGTCACGAGAAAATTACTTCTGAAAATAATTTTTACGCAACCCAAATTACTAATACCCTGTACCACTTGATATTATCTAAATTTAAAATGAAATGCCTAATCCATGATTGCTTTGACTTTGGGAGTGTCACTTTGACGTTAGTTAATTTTTATTTTTTTTTTTTTCATCATTTACTCCGCTCTAGAGTCCCATTCCATCGACGACATACGCTCAGATCAACCTGCGCTATACTGAAGCCGTAAGTGCTCTCTAACAATATTGTTCCCCGCTAATGTGCATGTGTTAATTCGCCATCTCTGCGTCACCTACAGGCTCTTCGAAGTGCAAATCTGCAGCCTCTGGGCCTCTTCGAGCACCCATTTACAAAAAAGTCGTAGCATCCCTGCAAAATGCCCAACATTTTCAACAGTTGTAGTAGTTAAATTGTTTACTTACTTTATTGAGTTTATGTTGTAACCTTTGAATAAAATGTCGTAATAGTATATTGTATAACAAGCGCCGAAAGTTGGATATTTCAAACGAGCGTGCCAGATGAGCCACGAGCTTTGAGTATATATATTATTAATATATATACTCAAAGGCCACGAGCCGATAGGCGAGTGGCTCAGGCATGCGAGTTTGAAATAGCCATTCGGCGCGTGTTGTACACTATACTTTTCCTACGACCACAGCTGAAGGAAACAAAAAAACAACAAAATCTGCATTGTTATTAGTTTTGCGAAAAAAAAGCCGATTGATAGAATTGTCGAAAAATTTTTTTAGAACATGTACATTTTCAAACTTAAAAACCAAGGGGTTTTCAAGAACCCTCTAAAAAAATTAATTATTGTTTTTAATTAAATTTATGGTTATGTTGGTGCAGTTATTTAATATCATAGGTGCTTTTGCTAGCGACTCGTCATTAATTAGCAAATTCTCCTCTTCTTGATTAGAAGCCGATGATCTCGCCGATAATGAAGATTCTATGATGGACCCAACAATTTGTTTGGATGTTTCCAATTTCTTGTTAATGGAGTCGTTGATATATCCTTCGGCCACGGTGTTGGATTTCCAGCCACCGTGGCGTTTTAAAGTCAATAAATCGGCCCCAGAGTCTACAAGAATTGTAGCGGAAGACCGCCTTAATGCGTGGCCAGTGTAGTGGTCTGCGTCCGCAAGATTTAGAAATTTGGCAACAACTTTAGGTACATTGCCAAATTTGTTGACACCCACAACTTGCCTAGTACACTTTCCTGTTTGAAAGTTCAAAAAAAAGCGGTCAATTTGGTCGCTATCAGGTACCATAGCACGGAGGTTTGCATACTTTTTGTAAATCTCGTAAAATTTACCCGTTATTGTAAAAGACCTCGGTGTTTTATTCTTTGTATGAGGAATGCGGACCAATAATGCCGATTTTAAATCCTCCAGATCTCGCACCTTGACATTACACAGCTCCGCTTTCCGCAGAGCTCCACATATACCAAAAATTAAAGCTACCTGCAAAAAAGGAACACAAAATATCAAAAATTTGTTTTGCAAAAATTTCGTAGTCACGTACCTTCGTTAATAAATGTTTGTGATCAGGAGCTGTGTCAATGAATTCTTTGATTTCGCCGGTACTAAGAGTGTTTGATTTTTTCGCTATATACCCGTGAGAGTATCGCTTCAAAAGGGCTTTCAATTTTGCATAGGTAGCAATATTAATGTCATGCCTAACTACTAGTGATGTTCTCAGCATGGAATAAATTGACCATAATGTACTTGACTTATACTTCTGTGAAAGTTCTCCAATATAAGCGAGCAATACGGTTTCCGAAAAGCCGTCTGCTCCATTTTGGCCTTTCCAACCCATGAAATTTTTATAGGCAAGGTCGTACCGGTCTTTCGATGCGGAAGGAAGCAAATTATCCGTCACCGCAGACGCCATTTCCCTTATATTTTCGGGCGTCCCGCATCTCTCATCCACCTCTCTATCCATGATATTCAAATTTGCCTAAAAATTAATACATCAATCTTTATCGTCTTGTATTTACGACAATAATTACCAAATTGCGCTGCTCTACCTTGAAAAATCTCGTTGTTGACATTGTTGACAAGGAAAATTCGAATTTTTTGTTGTGACAGATTGCTGGATTTTTAATCCGAAATGCGCTTATTGGTCGAACAGCGTGAATCAAGACGATATTTCATAACCAGAGAACGGCGAAGCCGTTTTAATTCATAGCCGTACACACAGTTTTCGCAGCGCGCTCAAGGTCTAGAGCTCGCTCGAGATTTTCCTCTGTAAAACGTGTTCTTTTGGGGGTGAATAAGTCTTTCAATTTAGAACATGAACGATCCACGTCACAACTGGTTGTGGGACTGTAATTAAAAAATGAGAGGATATTTTAATATGTATTTTGTGCTAATGTTTGGCTCTGTCATGCCGTCGCAAACTTGATGCAGTGTTTAAACCGGGAGTGCTACTAAAAACAGATTCGACTTTCATTTTTAACTTCTTCCCAAATTCACCTGGAAGCCTTTTAAATTGGGTCACAATATTTTGAAATTTTGATAAAGCACCATGCAACTTTAAAGTTTCAGAGTGCAAATAACCTATAGTTTTCGATGAATCTTAACAATTTTGTGCAATGTTAAATATTATAAAAAAATAATATAAAATGCTGCTTCTATTAAAAATGAAATAAAAAAATCAAAATAAGATTCGTAAAAATGAAAAGT